GGATGGCTTCGTTCGAGGTCGAACCTCAGGTAAAATTCTCATGAACAATCCCTAACTAGCCAAGTGGACTTTGGAAAAAGTCGAAACTGACCGGGACAAGGCAGAAGATTAGAAGTGACCTTGCAAAATTTAGACGAAGACTGCAGGAGAGGGTACAGCTGCTATTAAGCTAAAAAAAATAATAATAAAGTAATACAAATAAATTAAGACATTTGCATCTCACTTTTCTTTCATATATGTTGTCTTTGCTCACGAAAAACAACTGACTATGTCTTGGGATTTCATCAAGGGAAATTTGCAAGGAGCCTACTGGTCAAATTACTGCTGGCTCATTCTTAATAAGTTTTATAAGTCACGCAATTAAACGCCGGCAACACTCGATCCACAGAGATGTAGATTTATATGTAGTAATAGAATGCTTGAAAAAAATAAGCAAATATTTTACGATCGAAGCATGCATATAATCACAGAGCTCTGCAGATTATTTTGAAATTGTTATCTAGCAGACAGCATGAACAACGCGTTAGAATAATTCCTACGGAGAGTCTTCGGGTCACGCAATTTTAGCTTAGCGGAGTTCTGCATGGAAATGTTCGATGGCGGTAAGTGACAACACTGTTTTAATTTTATTTTCGGAATAGAAGCACAGTTTTTAGTCTGATAGAACTATTGATATTTGCTCTCAAGCTAGAGGGCAGAATTTCTCTTCGATAAAAGCCGAAGTTGTCGCACACTGGAAATTGGAATAGTGTCAACCAAAATGCAGCGTGCGACTTTAAAATCTCTTAAAATGAGCAATGATGAGAAAAACAATCAAATTATAGACTAATGAATATTTTGTACCGTAAAAAGCCATAGCTGCTGATTTTAGCAAATCTCCAAGGTAATAAACGACAGGAGAAAGAAACGCTACGATTTTCTCTTCGATTTTTCGCCTACATGCATCTCTCTAAACGTGAAATTTTCCATTCCTACAGAAATCTCGAAAGTTTTTCCCATTTTTCACCTTTCTTGATCAATCATCTTGTATGAAGAGCTAGATAATGTAGGTTTATTTGGTCAAGTGACCGCTTAGAGCAAGAATTGCGTGACAGGTGTAGTTTAGAGAAACTTGTCCCAGTCGCAGATTTTGAAAGGCATCCAAGACAAAAATACAGTAGTGCCCAAAGACTTTTTTGATGATTTTCAGAGATGAAACAATGGGTTATAAAGGGTAATTAGGATTAGTGTTGCAGCTTTCTGGCAACGGGAGATATTTGACCTCAAAGTTGTCAAATATTTGGATGAATCGAGAAGTCTAAAAACACAGTCGTGAATTTGCCTCTGTCGATTGACAAGCCGTCCATGAATAGACTGATGCTTGCTGCGGACATTAACTAAGGATGTAAAAATATGTGTGCAAACCCTCAGAGTAATTGGTTAAATACCATGGCAGTGAGAGCTTCATACAATTTGCCTATTTTGAAGCGATTTCTTTAGTGAAAACCAAGAAAAAACGGGGAGGGTGGTCTATCTCCCCCAGGTAAAAACCAAAACAGAAACCAGTTCGTCTTTTTGAGTTTTGGGGTAGACCCTTTAAACTGGCAAAGTTTCATTGAAATCGGTGAGATGGCATGTAGCACGACTGCCCGGTGCTCTCGTGGACACGCTCTTAACTATAAAAAACTGCGATAAAACATTTCTTACAAACATTTTAAGTCGGATAAACGTCATTACCATGTCCAAAAAAAGATGTATTTGCAAGTTGCAGTCTATACATACCAAAATAACGATGGGTCATAAAAAGCTCTACCGTAAGAAAAGAACAATAGTAATTAAAAAGTTTGGCAAGTTGAGAGTCCATCTGGATATTTAAATTAATCTTGAGGTTCTTGATGAACAGCATTTCAAAGACTAAACGATTAAATTTTTCCTGGTACCTTCTTAAAACTCTAAATAGGTTTTCTTTCAAGAGGTGTTTGCTACCGTGAGCTTCCACAAAATGTCGACCGCTTGCCGAATATTTGTGCTCAGCAATGCGTTGATAAAGGTGTCGTGCTGTGTACCCGACACCATGTGCATGGCACGGATTACACGAGAAACGGTAAACAACGCATTGTCGATTTACAATTGACGGCTTGATTTCTATGGGTTTAAGATCTTAATTTCTTGCTCACAAAAACAGGCTGCAACGTAGGGAGAATCTTATGGCTAAGATCGCGCAACTGCTTCCGAACTGCATTAGCGGTCACTTGATCTTTGAATGTAAAACTAATTCTTACTGTCCTACTATCATCGGTGTTTCTTTCTGCTGTGCCTGCCGAAGCATTTGTAAAATAAAATTATTGATAGCGGAATCAATAGGGCCCTTAAGGTAGTCAAGACGACTGAAAATGGAGCGTAATTTAACACATTCTTCATTAAAAGCCTCTGTGGTAGACGATAGGGCATGGGCTGACGGTGTATCATTGTCTTTAAAAAAGAGTCTCTATAGGGTTTATCGGAAGAGAGCAAATCAGTGTTTGTTGGTTTTTGGTAAACTTGAGTCTTAAGTTTAAAAGAAAATAAAAGGAAATCTTATCAACTGTGAGAAGCTCCATCGTAAAAGTTAGACTGGAGTGTAAGCTATACAGAGTAATAGGAAACACAACAGCAGCAGCAGTGCTAGGCATTCTGGCCAGGGTGTCGTCGACGTACCTCTTGTACAGATGGGGTATTAAGTCATCGCGGGTAAGTATTTCTTCAAGATGACACATGAAGACGTTGGCCATCAGAGGGCCATGGGGGGAGCCCATAGCCAGACCATCTGTTTGTTCGTAAAGTTGACCATTGAACCCAAAAAGCTGATTGGTGGTGGCAATTTTGAGTAGTTCAGCAAGCTGATCCTTTTGCAGATTAAAGCCATTTTTTTGTCAAACCAATCATATGTGAAGGCTTTGTTGAACAAATAACCCTCATAAACTGTGAAAATTTGAAAGAGTTCAGTAAGATGGCATTTGTCGAGTCTGCTAGGTCCTCTTGAGAACAGACTCCTAAATTATAAGCTCAAAATGAAATTAAAGGAATATTTTTTCTTTCGTGTCCTCTTGAGCTTAGAACAAAAGAAGAAGCCTTGTTTAAGAAGACTCTGAGAAAAAAAAGTTAATAAATGAATGCACAAGTGATCAAAATACATTGTGCACTCAAAAGCCGTATTTTTAGACCGGAATCAAATCCAAATTGAAATATATTTAACTTTCACAGAGCGTGGGAATGGAAACAAATTTGCTCACAAAAAAGCTGGCCTGCACGGATCAAAGGATTTGCAGGTGTTAATTCTGTTTTTGTGTTGATAACAGCTTCCTTGACAACTTCTTTTCAGTTGCAAATTAAGTGTAACTCGTGATGTTCCACCGTGTCTGTTGAGATAAATTATCACACCTTCCTCTAATCAGGTGTGAAGTTTATTAACCCGAGCTCTAAGGTCTGGTGCAGCAATCACTGATTTGAAGTCTGCAATGAAGATGAACATTTACACAAGTCTCGTATTTTTTGTCGCATTTACCGGCAATTTTTTTTACTTTTTCTTAAAACGGGCTGAGTTTGGATCGTTTCGATGAGCCCTGTATGCTGTTTCTATTATTTTTCAATATGCATTTGGAGAGTGGATCTGCTTCAGTATGAGGTTAATTTAAATAGTTTTTTGTAGTAGCCAGTAGCAACATGGTCACTTTCGAGTGGCTTTGTACGTGCTAAACATTGTCTTTACTCAGAGTTGTCTTGATAAGTACGGTAACCATAACATTTGACGCAAACCATGAAGGATAGAGAATATATATTACATGATGACTTGAAAACAGTGATTGGAGGTGCAAAATCCCGAAGTGGTATTAGTTGTCCGAAAAAGATTTTCTGGTCTTGGGGAATAGTCGTGTTAGGCTTGTTCAAAGAAATTGTTACGAATGATTGCTTGTGCCGTCCTCCGTTTGAGAACCTAGCCAAGTTTTGCAATGTAAGATAAACTCAGGAGAAGTGATTTAGAAAAACATATAAGTATAAAAAACGGCGATAAAACATTTCCTTCAAACATTTAAGAAGTTGGATAAACGTCATTATCAAGTCAAAAAAAAAAAAAATTTGCAAGTTGCAGTCTATACATACCAAAATAACAATGGGTGATAAAAAGCTCTACCGTAAGAAAAGAACAATAGTAATTATAAAGTTTGGCACGTATGCAGTCTGTCTGGATATTTAAATTAGGCTTATGATTCTTGATGAACGTCATTCCAAAGACTAAACGATTAAATTTTTCCTGGTACCTTCTTTAAACTCTAAATTGGTTTTCTTTCAAGAGGTGGTTGCTACCGTGAGCTTCCACAAAATGTCGACCGCTTGCCGAATATTTGTGCTCAGCAATGCGTTGATAAAGGTGTCGTGCTGTGTACCCGACACAATGTGCATCGCACGGATCACATGAGAAACGGTAAACAACGCATTGTCGATTTACAATTGACGGCTTGATTTCTTTGGGTTTAAGATCTTACCTTAATTTCTTGCTCACAAAAACAGGCTGCAACGTAGGGAGAATCTTATGGCTAAGAACTGCATTAGCGATTACTTGATCTTGGAATGGAAGACTAATTCTTACTGTCCTACTATCATCGGTGTTTCTTTCCGCTGTGCCTGCCGAAGCATTTCTAAAAAAAAAGTTATTGATAACGGAATCAATAAGGCCCTTAGGGTAGCAAGACGATTGAAAATGGAGCGTAATTTAACCTCATTCTACATTAAAAGCCTCTGTGGTAGACGATAGGGCATAGGCTCAGTGTATAATTGTCTGTAACAAAGAGTTTTTACAGCGTTTATCAGTGTGATTGTGGAAGTGTAAGAGGAAATCAGTGTTTGTTGGTTTTCGTAAACTTGAGCTTCAAGTTTAGTTCCGTTCTTGACGATTTCAATGCCGATAAAAGAGATCTCATTAACAGCAGAAAGCTCCATCGTAAAAGTTAGACTAGAGTGTAGGCTATACAGAGTCAGGCCTGCTACAGAGTAATAAGAAGCACAACAGCAGCAGCAGCGCTAGGCATTCTGGCCAGGGTGTCGTCGACGTACCTCTTGTACAGATAGAGCATTAAGTCATCGCGCGTAAGTGTTTCTTCAAGATGACATATGAAGACATTGGCCATTAGAGTACCACGTGGGGAGCCCATAGCCACGCCATCTATTTGTTCGTAAACTTGACCGTTAAACTGTAAAAGCTGATTGGTTGTGGCAATTTTGAGTAGTTTAGCAAGCTGATCCTTTTGCAGATTAAGGCCATTGATTTTGTTGAACCAATCATCTGTTAAGGCTTTGTGGGCAAGGTACATTGGTGAAGAGAGCTGTGACGTCGTGACAAACCAATATGTCTTCATCATTCATAGAATGAGTACGAATCTCATCAGGAAAGGCAAAGGCGTCAGTGACTGTATACTCATTTATGAAAAGCGGTTTCAGCTTTTCTTCAAGCCATTCAGCCAGATTGTCATTGTAGGTTTCGGTTGCTGATAAAATAGGCCTCATGTCCTGTGTGGCGTTGTGAGTCTTAGGTAGGCCATAAAGATGAGTGAGCCTGGAAATCTTTGGAGAAAGTGAATTGGCAATTTCTTCAAGCAAAATTCGATGTAAAGTTTCTTGCAACTCTTTCTCTTTTTGAAGGAGAGAGTGTAAATGCTTAAGTGGTCGTTCAAGCATTTTTGCCGGTCGCTTGTTATCAAAGTGTGAAAATTTAGAGGTTTTTGTCTAATTGCTATTGTTCTTTTCTCACGGTATAGCTTTTTATCACCCATTGCTTATTTGGTATAGAGAGACTGCAACTTACAAATATTACTTTTTGACTTGATAAAAACGTTTAGTCAACGTTGAAAAGTCGTCAATTTTAGGAATCTCAAAATGTTTTTAAGAAATTTCCATCGCAATTTTTAATGAGATAAACTCGGTCCTAAATGTGGTGGTTTTTTTGTTTGCTATCTGACAAAAAACTCATCCCGTTAGATGCGTTGTATTTTCACCTGTTAATCATTTAGCCGAAATCAGTTTGCACAGCAATTTATGTTTGGTGAAATAGGTGTAAATTCAAACTCTGTTCGAATATCACTCACAGCATACTATTAATGACTAATATCACAACATTTGATTGATTTGTTATCACTTAAATTTGTATAACAATAGGCTAGTTGGACTGTTTCGAGGGCAGGTGTTACTTGAGATAAAGCAGTTTCTTTTCAGTTGCAAATAAACTACTTTTCGCCGCCTCTTTCGCTTTCTCCAGTTCTTGTGAAGCTTAAGAATTACGACGATTGAATACTATTGGAGCTGTACAATCCATTGTCTTCATTACCAACCCAATTTCAATCTGGAATAGCACTAAAATTTCAGTACTTATTCAATGTAGTACAATAAAACCAAACGTCGGTTTCGAAAGTCATCTCACTATCATTGCAAGAAAAAATCGATGAAGGTGGATCAAAGTCACTACGCTATTTTTAAATATTGATCATGCGTTCTTTCAGCGACTTTTAAACAAACCAAATGCAGGGTAATATTACGAAAACCAGACCAAACACAACTCACATGATCATTGATTTGAATTTACTGATGGTTTTTTCATTTCAGTGAATTGAATATTTTTTGTTAGTTTTACGTTAAGTTGTTTCCTTTAGAAAAAAATAAAAGTGTAGTCGAGTTCAAACTATGTAAAAAGTATTCAGGCTACTGCAAACTAGTGGTTCGAACGATGGAATAACTTGAACTAACTCGAACGCGCCATGGGTGTGATGAAAAAGATCGAACGAAAGCTGTGGAAAAAAACAAAACAAAGCAAAACAAAACAGATGGTGATAAAACAGAGAGCTTCGACGATTTCGAATTTTTCTTTATGTATCAGTTCCATTTGTGACCTGGACGTTTTCTTTTTTTCTTTCTGTATGTGTGTGTATGTGGGCATGTTTTGATAGATATCATCCTGATGAGCTTACATCTCTGTATTGGGCTTAAAAATTCACCATGCAAACTGGAACAGTCAATCTTTCAATCTTGGCAAATTTCTATAATTCGCTCGTTATGTTCAGCCGGGTACTGAATTTGAGGTCGGCGAAATATAAAATCACCTCGTAAACTGCCGGCTGAGGTAATGTTTGAGTATATACAACACATGATGTTTTTTTTTTCTTCTCAGCTACCAATCTTTTGTCAGCTGTTGCGGCTGATTTTAACGGCGAAACATGTGGCGGTATGTGCATAAAAGTCCTTAGCAGGTCTGGAGAGGTTCTGTTTCGTCGTTGTCGTAACAACAAGAATTTTGTCAAAGCCTTTACTATAGAAATGGACACCATCTGGCTAGGGAAAACCCGAGAGATCGAAGATTTAGTCCCTAAATTTCAAATTTCCGAAATCCGCTGTGTTGCAAAACGTGACTGCAATGAAGCTCTCCGCCACGGCTTACTTCAAGGCTCAAAAGGCACATCTACACCTTGACATCTACACTCTTTGCCAAGACGGAGCGATCAAATTCGATGATGATGAGATTGTATCGAGAAATAGGTCGATGAAATTATTCCTGAGGGTACGCACTCATTTTCCGTGAAATTTAAGTTTTTAAGTAATCTACAATGTTATCTCTGTGAATAGACATCATAATCACGTAGGGTTTATCGGGAGCGTTAACTAGTTTCGGATGGTACTGAATGGGACAACTTAGGACTAAGCTGTTTTAACTTGACTCCACTGGATTTATTGTTTTAGTTTTAGACGGGAACGGAAGTCATTTTTTCCGAAGTATACCACTTCCAAGGAAAAGTTTGAGTTAAATTTGCGATAAAGAAATTGATTCCAGCGCGAGAAACCGTTAATGATCTGCTGAGTCGTTTCCAACATAATTCATTTTACTCAAAACATAATCAGAATTTGTTATCAGTCCTTTAGCGTCATTTTTTGGGATAATCTAGTGCCAATCTAGGCATATTTATGTTTCTCTGAGACAGACATGTGCTCTAGACTTATGGGGATAGGAAAAATCACTAATTTGTCTTTTTACCTTAGACTGGCGGGTATCCGCCGCTTTCGCCCCCTATCGAGTTCGCCCCTTCGAGTTCGCCCCTACTTTATACTGTGTTCGCCCCCACACTTTTCGAGTTCGACCCCATCAAGTCGAGTTCGCCCCCAGATTGAGTCATGTCTAAATTAGTTGTTATCGAACATTGCAAACAAGTTAGAAGCAAGACAAGTTTTGAATTTTAATTGACCGACGGCCATTGTAAAGCCTGCGCTTCTTTTCTTATTTCTAACTTATGACGATCCTAATTTCATTTATTTCACTAGTGCAAAACAGATGGCAAATTTACCCACCTCGACCAGTATCCATTGGTAGAGAAGGTTGGCAAAAGGTATATGATGTATTTCGAAATGGGCCTCACTTCAAGTAAAAGCATTGAAATCGACCCAGGAGTGACATTGGGGGATGAATTTTATTACGAAGACGATAACGATGATAAAGACGATAAAGTACGCAACGCAGTTTCTGTTCAGCTGAATTTCTTGTTGCTTTTCGTGATGCTGGCGGCCATATTCGCGTTCAACTGAGAACAGTAAAGTTTTTCGTCAGGCTTTTGAGAAGCTACGTATGTTGTTTTAATGTGATGTAGTGGTGGGAGGGGAGAGAGGGAAGGGGTACTCTAGTTATTTTTGGGAGAGTGTGTGCTAACTACACTCCATACGCGTATTATATTGCACGTATTGTATACCTCTTTGCGACGTATACATTATTTTCATGGCCTACTTTGAGCTATATTCAAGCCCAAAAGAGTGCTTACGTTAGCTACCATGTTAGAAATCATCAACAATTGCTCTTCGAAAACTTTTTCACAACCTTTGAAGTTTCCTCTGGAGATGTATCACATTGTTTTAAGCCAAAATTGTAAGATTTCTAGTCTGAAAAATGGAGCAGCATCTTTTGAAATACTGGTAGTTAGCAGCGGAATAAACAAAGCCTTGCCTAGCTCATATTAGATACCTCTGATAGTACCACCCCTCCCTCCCCTTCCACGCATTTTGTTTCTATGTTCCCATATTCAGAATTCCTATATTATACTGATGTTTAAAAATGTATTCCTTTTTCTAATGCAATAGTTAATGTAAAGTTTTAAGAGGCAGCGAGTGAGGAAATAAAGATGGTGAGGTCCTGAGGTGCCCAAGAGCTGTTTCCAGTCTCTTCTCGTTTTCTCGAGCCCATTCGCTTTGCTAGCAGCTTAGATAATTTGTTTTTTAGATTATTTGCATAAAAAACGATGAACGTGCAACAGTTGTACCTGCATAGTTATATAACATTTTTATTACCCTTTTCAAAGTGTAATGGCCTAATAGCTTAGTCATTAGTATGTTACACTCTACGCACTGAATTGATTGTTTGACTCAATAAAATCATTTGCACTTGCAAGGTTAATTCATATAGTTAATGGTTGTTTGCAGATATTAAGATTTACTTCTTTATAAAACACGAAGGCTTCTCTGACACCTCAAACACAGACCTAAATCTTGAATATTTAATCATAGAATGATATAAATATCGTAACTGTATCATGATCCAAGGTATTTGATGAAGAAAATTGCCAAAAAATTTGAAAAAGCGGAGCAAGAAGCTTAAATTGGCTAAAGAACTTCTCAGCTACAGCAGTAGCCCTCTGACTCTCACAAGTGACCATTAAATAACTTCTCCTTGCTACATCAATATAGTATTCAGATTAATTAAGGCATGAGACTGAAGAAAATTTCAGTGAAGGGATAATTTGTTGATTCAAAACCAGTCTCCAACTAACTTCGTGAGAATTGTATAGCAGACGGTAGAGGGAGAATTGCAAATGAGATTTTATGAGTGAACAGTTTTAAGCAGCAACCTTGCAATTTCGGTGAACTTTTCCTATTTCAGCATCTATCTCGACTCAGACTGGCTTCATAGACTTTGCTTCTAACATTCGGGGTTTTATTTTGTGCAGCCGGGAGGGCCGTGCTTGTCGAAGTAGTCTTTTGAAACGTTCTCTTTTCTAAGTGAGGAATGCGAGGCACTAATCAGAGACTTTCCTTTCGCTTGCAAATAAGTGTACAGACATTAGTATAGAAAACTTCGCCTCTGTCTTGATTTTTGGTAGCCTATTGACTAATTTCCAATCGAGACTCAAGTCTGACGCTGACTCATGCTGACGGGACGCATAATTTTGCTTACGGCAGTAAGTAGCCTACTTCACAAAACTAAAATATATTTTCACAAAAAAACTACACCACAATTATGAGGACATTTTGGGCTACAAAATATGAAGGTAGGAGTGAAAGTAAACTTTGGTTGACTTGTCACTGTTTGTACTGTTTGTCTGATGTATGCCTGAAGGCAGTGAAACTCTCCGCCAAGACTCACTTCAAGGCTCGAAAGGCATATCTGTGCGTTGACATCTACATTCTTTGCCAAAACGGAACGATCAAATTCGATGATGATGAGATAGAAATGAAAAATGGCTCAATGAAATTATTCCTGAAGGTACGCACTCATTTTCTGGGAAATTTAAGCTTTTAATCAGTCTATAATGTTATCTTTGTGACTAGACATTATAATCACGTAGGGCTTATCGGGAGCGTAAACTATTTTTGAGATGGTACTGAGTGGGACAACTTAAAGGACTTACCTATGTTAACTTGACTCCATTGGATTTATTTTCAGTTTTAGACGGAACAGGAGTCCTCTTTTTCCGAACTATGCCGTTTTCAGGGAAAAAAAAAGTTTGAGTTAAATTTACAACATAAAGATATTGATTCCAGCACGGGAAACCGTTATTAATCTGTTTTGATGATTAATCTCACTCAAAACATGATCAAAATTAAGTTTGTCATCAGTCCTTTAGCTTTCGCTGTTTGGGCTAATCTAGGGCCAATCTAGGCATATTTATGTTTCCCTGAGACAGATATGTGCTTTAGACTTATGGGGATACAAAAAATCAATGGCTTGTCTTTTTACCTCAGACTGGTGACAGGTACCTTTGAGTAACGAACTAGGTCCACCTCAGTTTTGACTCGCTTGAAAAATGAACCAGACTGACCCAGAAGGTGGTGCGAGACAATCGCAGAGTTAAGTAACAAAACGAAACAACAACTGCAACAAAAACGACGCAATCCCAAATACTCTCAACATGGAATTGAAAGTCATTTAATTATTTCACTTTATAAACCAAATAAGTTCGAAATTTGATTTTTTTTCTACAGCTTGAAAACTATACTTCCAGTGAGGCGAAGGATATTGAGTTGGGACTCATCGTCCAGGGAAGAAGGGATCAAAACCCAAAGAAAGACGAAGACATAAAAGGCAGTGACGGTAAACACAAGAAACTCAATCGAAAAATGCCATGCCGGAAAATAGGTAAATGCGGCAAGCATTTCCGCTTTGGCGATGGAAACGATACCGATGATGAAATGTCAGCCGCTAACAAGGTAACACTCTAAATGAAATCATCATGCAACAGATCTAAACGGCCCTTTCTGTTGGTTGACCTGCGTACTAACCCAAGTGGGGTGACGTCAGCAAACCATAAAACAATTCAAAGAATCGCTAGTCAGTGATAAACAAAACCTTTTAGTCTGTCAGGTTGTTGTGTTTGTTGTTGTTTTGTTGTTGCTGTTTTTTTTTTTTCAATTTTTAAGCTGTATCTTAGATAACTGTCCAATTTGAAAATTGCCTCCTGAAGAGCGTTCGCGCACAATATATTCTGCTACTGTAAAGGCTGCACTTTTATTTATTCATTTCTAACTTATAACGATTTTAATTTACTTTTTTCTTTCATTTTTTTACTAGTGCAAAGTAAATGGCAAATTTGCCAACTTCAGCAGCTTTGGCTACCCAAAGCTCGAACAGATGGGCAAAAAGTATAGGATTGCTTTCCGAGTACCCGCTTATTTCAGCAAAAGCATTGAAATCGACCCAGGAGTGACATTGGGGGATGAACTTGATGACGAAGACGACAAAGACGGCAAAAATGACGAAGACGACAAAAATGACAAAGACGATAAAGAAGGCAGCGGAATTTCTGTTCACCTGAATCTCCTCTTGCTCGTCCTGATGGTGGTGGCCATATCCACGTGCAACAGAGAACAGTAAAGTCTTTCGTCACGCTTTTGAGAGGCTATATATATCGTTTTAATCCGATGCAGGGGTGGGAGGGGAGAGAGAGAAGGAGTGGTGATACTTTATATGGTGATGGTGATACGTTATTATTGGTAGAAAGCGTGGAAATGACACTCGATGCATGTTTTAGATAACTGTTTGCCAGGTATATATTTTTTTTCTATACACTACTTTTAGTTGTATTCAAGCTCAAAAAAGTCCCATAACCGTGCTAAAAACACCGAGACTTGCCCTATTTTTCATAACCTCTGAAGTTCCCTGTGCAAATGTAACACGTTGTTTTAAACCAAATTTGTTTGATTTCCAGTCTGGAAAATGGAGCAGCATCTTTGAAAAAAAAAAAAAAAATTGGGAACTAGCAGCGGGATAAAGAAAGCCTTGCTTAACTGACATCAAGAAACCTGTTATAGTACCACCCCTCCTTCCCCTTCCTCGCATTTTGTTTCCATTTTCCTATAATCAGCATTCCCACATAGTACTGATGTTTAAAGATGTGTTCCTTTTTCTAATGTAATGGTCAATGTGAAGTTTTGAGAGGCAGCGAGTGACGAAATAAGGATGGTGAGGTCCTGGGGTGCTCAAGAGCTGTTTCCAGTCTCTTCTTGTTTCCTCAAGCCAATTCGCTTCGCTGGCAGCTTAGATAATTTGTTTTTTTGGACTATTTTTATTATCAAGTGTTTATGAAAAAACGATGAACATGTAACAGTTGTACCTGCATGGTTATATAACATTTTTATTATCCTTTTCAAAGTGTAATAGCCTTATGAAATTGTTATCATCTATTTGTTACACCCTACACGCTGAATTGATTGTTGTACTTAATAAAATCAGTTGCACTTGAGTTAATTCATATGCCTAATGACTGTTTATAGATATTAAGATTTCACTTCCTCGCACAAGTGACCAAGAAATAACTTCTCCTCGCAACATCAAAACAGTATTTAGATAAATTAAGAGATGAAAATGAAGAAAATTTCAATGAAAGGATAATTAGTTGATTATATACCTAAGTCTCCAAACTAACGACGTGGGAATTGTATAGCAGACGGTAGGGAGAAATTGCGAATAAGATTTTATGAGTGAACAGTTTTATGGAGCAACCTTACAATTTCGATTAACTTTTCCAATGGGGATCGGAGTAAATGTATTTTACAATTAAAACAATGGAGAGCAAGATGGTAAGTCGACATTCTTGTTTAGGACGATTTGAAGATTTACCGTACTAAGACTAGACTTTTGTAAGTCTCCGTTCGTGAGTAGAACTGGACTCTTAAGCACTTGCGAAATTGCCAATAGTAACGAGAATGAGTATAATCCGGTTATAATCACACGAGTTATAAACAAAATCGAATAATTGCGAAGCAGAGTTGCATTTAATTATTAAACGGCTTAAACGATTGCTGAACAGTGGACAACCGAAAGTAATGTAACCAATTTATCAAAACTATGACTAAACTTGCGAAAAATACACATCAGCAAAAAGAATGTATAATGCTATAATTTCAGCTGATGTGCATTGTCCAGTTTTCTCTCCCACTGTCCGATTATGACTATGATACTGTGCCATGGAGGGGGGGAGGAAGGATTTTGGTTGTACCACACCCCTCCATATTAGGCTCTGTGAAATTACCATCCCTCACTGTCAGTTAATTTTTTTATGGTCTCCCTTTGAAGATCTTTTGGCACGATTAGTGCCCTCTGAAAACACTGGGATCTTCTCGCAGACGATAAATAAAATTGAGCCGCTGACAATCTGTGGGGATGGTGAATTTCTACATAGTTTTGATCAAAGGTAAACTTAAGTTCAGTATCTACTTAGAAATCTCCAGGTGCATATATTATAGTTTATTGTAACTCTAAAGTTTCAGTATCTATCTCCACTCTGACTGGCTTCACAGACTTTGCCTCTTACATTTTGGGTTTGTTTTTGTGTAGCTGGGAGGGCCGTGCTTGTCGAAGTCTTCTTTTGAAACGTTCTCTTATCTAAGTGAGGAAAGTGAGGCACTAATTAGAGACTTTCGCTAGCAAATATTTTTTCCTGTTGAAGACGTGGAGATTATGAAGACTCAAATTTATCCATACCTCACTATTTCTCAAGCAGTGAAAGAAGAAAATCGAGAAGCCCTGCCGAAAAAAGGGGTCCAGTAAATAGATAAGCAGATAAATAAATAAATAGTTTAATGAAAAAAAAAAAAAGAACCTGTAGGTTAGAAGAACGTCAAATGAGCATTATTCTTCTTTTTTTACCATGATTAAAGAGTCTTCTCGTAAAACTAACGGTCACATACTTCTTTTTATTTTCAATCATTCTTTTCTATCGGCTATCGGCTAAGCTAAGTGCACTCTAAGCGTAAGAATTAATGGTATCTTGGTACTTCAGAGGTTTTAGCAGGTCTGTAGTTTTAAAGATAGGCCATTGCGACCTAATTTAACTATTTTTCTCGCTTTAAGTTCTCTTTGTGCTTAACATTAGCTTCAAAAGTTTCTGAATCAGAACGTTAATCTGAGTTACACCTTACTCATTTCGAAAATTTGATAATCATGTTCTTGGAAATACGCCTTAACATTCCTCTGGAAGTAGCACCTCAGGCGTATCAGCCCTTAGCTTTGTAATTTACCTGTGTAGAGTTTAGGACGACAAACATGTAAGAAAAGGCAATGTGCAATGGCGACAAGAAACCTATCAGCCATGTAACGCCAAGCAACGGAGCCAACACCAGGCATGCTCGAACACCAACCCTGAAGAAGAATAAGAGATTTATATTCAACCTGGGAACTCGATTCCTCAGGGAAAAAAAAACCAGACGGTTGGATTTTGCACTCGGATGTCCCACAAGGGAGCTAAAGTACTCAATAATGTGCTATACCATTATGAGGTTCATTTGTGACAAGTATCTTGCATTCTGCTGGGAACAGCTATGTTGGAAGGATCGGGAGATTTCAGAGGAAAAGAGGGATGATCATCCTACCTGATCTGCTCACTCTGGTTGTCTTTGACTTGTTGGATTGTAGTAACTTCCTTGATAACTCGCACGAGGATTGCCATATTAATCTTTACAAGCAATAATAGGAATACAAGTAATTTGATTTTTGTATATTGTCCATCAAGAATGGTATAAAATATGAGAAAAAATAGGACAGAGGCGGGAAAAAGGGGTAGCGACTAAGAGTGATGCCGACTCCACTAAGTAAGATTTTCAATAAGAAATGTTTTGGCGCAAGAGTATGGAAAGTAACCGGAGTATATTTTGAAAAATAAGTCAAATAACTTAAGTCTCCAAGCCTTCCGCTATTATATAGCTTTGTGGATATAAATTCGTTCTCAAGACGCTTTATTATTTATTGATGTTTGTGGTGTAGTGGATGGATAAATGGATTCCTCCCATCTGTCTCTCCTTTATATATATTTATAAAAATAAAATAAAAAAACTTTGAAATATTAAAAAAAAAGAAATATTGTTTAGGTCACGATGCCTTACTTAAAACCGAAGGATGATCTATGAGCGGGAGGAGATGAAGTGCTAAGAGATAAGTTGTAAGTGAGAAGTGCTAAATTTAAGTTAAAAAGAAGTTTCATCACATACAAGTTCAATTAGTCCAACAAAGGAAACAAATATCCAGATGATTTTGTTTCTTGAAGATATCCAGCAGCTTGGAGTTTGGAAAAAACAGGAAATAATGGATGGATGAATATATTAATTAATAAAACAAGGGAAATTGAAGAGAAAGAAACGCGAACTCATTTCGGAAGAAAGAAAAAAAAATAGACGACTTAGTTTCGATCCACACATACGAGATGAGGAAGATTGCTAGAGGGGAGTTCACACCCCTTCCCCTGGGTTCTCCCCGTTCAGGCAGCTGCTAAGTCACATATCCGCTGCGATACTTCCGGGTCCATAAAGAGGATTTAATAGGTAAACATTCAAACTTACTACTGATCACTGACATAATTTTCGATTCCATCTTTTCCTGCAACAATACCCAGAGATGCAGTAACCATGACCGCAGGAAGTCCTATAGCAAAAAAGCACAATGAATAAAAATAGGCATTGTCGACAATTACAAATACTAGATAGATTTGAGGGCTATAATATCTACTTTTACAAATGGCCTATCGTAAGTTTTTTTTCGCTTTGTCATACTGACAAAAGTAGTAACTATTCTTCAAGCCTTTTTTCTGGTAAGTGCTGATGGCCAATCCGAATTTTGGTATTAACACACCGTCAGCCGCAAATCCTTTTCGGTCGATAATTACTTTGCTTTATGCGATTTACCTTTAGTTAGTGGCCTAGTTTTCAATGGGATTTAGTGTTCACATCTTAAGAAGTAGCTTTCCTTACCCCAACAAAGGCCATGAAAGCGGCAGATTTTATCGTTGACGTTGTACACCTTTACCACAAATAAGTAAATGTAAGCTCCCTCAACAAGCATCCAGCAGAAAGCTGCCATCAAGAAGTACTGCATGAGAGCCGCAATTGTAACACAGGCAGCCTATAAGGAATCACCATCAGTTGGCTGATGTACTGATAAGCGAGCCATCATCAGAAAAAGAAATAGCTCACACAAATTTATCTAAGCAAATAACACTGAATAATAAAGATGTAAAACATTCTGCTCCAACTCTCACCTTGTTTTCTGTGGCATCAATCCCAGCAAAAAAGACAATGTGTCCAGCTCCAATGCAAGATGTTAGTCCCACCCGACTATGGAACAGGGGTGCTCGCCTGTCTCTACAGAAGCCCAAACAAATAGACGTGTAAAGAAATGTTAAAACCAAAAGGAAGAAGATTCAACTGAGGAAATGAAGAAAGAGAAAACTTACCTCCCGAAGCGTTTTTGGTCAATAAATTCATATTTAATGTGGCGGTGATGTCCTTGGCCCTTAACTCTCTGTCTACCTCGTGCACATTTCACAGCTGACTTTCTTTTTAACTTTGTGGGTTACTTTGTCTCAGTTTAAATAAATTCGACCAACAGAATGTCTGAAACCACCGTCAGGTTACCCTACCTCCCAGGTTTATTCAGGTTGACTAGACGTCAGTCTTTGCAAACCAGAGGGTTCTCTAATCTCACCTGGACTATCAGACAACACAATAAAAAATATCAAATCCTTCATGCTACATTGACCAATACCTCAAGCAATTTTTTTAACACCCAAGTTATAGCATTTGAATGAAGTGGACTTACGTTAGCCGTACATAGCTGATTATTGTTATAGAAACTCCAGCCAGCGATAAAGCCATCCCCACGTGTGTAAGAACTGTCAGTATCTTGTCATTTTCCTTTGAAGTCAATTGAAATGTATTACCTTCATTTTACATGGACCTCTTTGGCGTAAAACCATACTCCTGAACTTCTGGGGTACTTTAAGGGAAACTAATGATTTAATGAATATTCCATGCCCATAGGAATTAGGGTGTCATATGAACCCGCCTTCTTGTGGCCGATAGTAACCAAAAATGCGCGCCCTTGGGATATGGGATCTGAGTGCGATTGACCCAACAAATTTTTAGGTGTATTCTCTCTTTAAAGCCACAGTACTCCTAGCTGACTGTTTTGGAAACACTTTATGTTACTATCTGCCTTCTTGTGGCAGATTGTGGCCAAAAATGCGCGCCTTTGGGATATGGATCTGAGTACAATTGACCCAACATAGTACTAAGTGTATTCTTTCTTTCAAGCCAGACTTGTACTCCTAACTTAATGTTTTGGAAACACTTTATGGTGGCGAAGCGAACGGATTGTCCAGCAAAGCTTTTTGAAGTACTCACACGACAAATGCATTTTCTCCGTAAGTACCTTGTTTTATTGCAATATGAAGTTGACATGATACGTGCCGCCAACTAATACAATTATGTACCATAAAAAAACACTAAATGAAACTTATACCTTTGTATCCCCTGCATTACTTTCATCTTTACTTTCGGTAATATCCATTAGAACAGCAAAGTGAGTTAAATGATGGCACTTGCATTCCGTTTGGGATTCGCTCATAATTCTGGTGAAACATCCTTGCGCTGACCAATCCACGGGACTTTATACAAAAAATATAGAAAATTTATGTGGTTTAGTTCCAGGGTTTAGAATCTAACAAAGCTGTATAAATGGCCAACTCAATACATGTAGTTACCCAAAAGATGGAAAGACATCTCATATAATTGTGCAAGAAGTAGATTTTGGCCGAAAAGAGCGAGCCTTACCCATCTCCAAACATGTCCCAGAATACACACTCTCTGCTTTTTCCACCGGCCTGAAATAAGTTTAAAAAGTACGAATCAAGAGGAAGTTTAAACTCAGTCTCTAATCTCTTGATGGAAAATATAAAGTTTAAAATCTAAGATTTTATACACAAGCTTAAAATCATGAGATGGCTAAGCTCAGTTGATACCGTGAATTGCCCACCGTAGAGAGATTACAGAGCTAACGTTTCGAGTGTCAGGCAAACTGTCATGGAGAAAGCTACAGATTTAACAAGGTGTAAAAGGGGAATGTGAATTCCTTTCATTGTACAGGTGATGTACATACCTTTATGTGTTTAAAAACCAAGGTGATGTTCTCCAGCAGTACATCTGCAGGCTCGGGGTAAATTTCAACGGACATGATTATGGAGTTCAGCACCCTAAAAACAAAAACAACAAAAAAATACTAAATGAAATTTTAAATAGCTTCGAAGCAAACAAATATGTGAATACATTAATTCGAAACAAAAAAAATATGTAAAGTGTATTAAAATCTCTTGCAAAAGTTGTCAATGCTTGCTCACCTCTACTTCTGAGCCTTGGTTTTTGAAAAGAGACAATAATTTAAAACCATGAAGTAGGTTTGGATGTAATCATTATCTTCGCCATACACGTGAAGGATGTTGTATATTTTATTTTTTTCTTTATTTCTTTATTTTTACAGCAGTCTTTATACTTTGATTTAACAAACGTATTTGATTTTCTTGCTGCTGAAATACAAACCTTGTTTTGTTGGTTCCTCTGGTGTTCTTGTCTGATGTAAACAACTCGGTAAGATTTTTGTACATTACTCCTACAACCATTGAGCCTTGATGGAATTAAATTGAATGAAAGATAACTAAGGTAAAGGTCAATATTTATTGCCTGGCGTGGGAGCTGTCAGAGGGTTTTGATAGTGTCTCGATAACCTGATCCCCACTCACTGGGGTTGATTGGCAGTCAATTCTCTATAGTTGGCCCCCCTCCCCTCCTTTACTCTCTGTAGGCGACGATTGATCCTCCCCCCCTCCCATGGTGTGTTAAAAAGTTTCAAATATGGTCGAAGATATTTTGTTTACTTCCTCTCTTTTCTTATTCTATGTTTGGCAGAACTGCACCGTGGAATTGTTTGCGCCTCGATTTCAAAGAAATGTCTGGTTTTTTTTTTGTTTTTGTTTTTTTTTGTTTTTTCCCTTTCTTTTCTTCACAGCTATTTCTTGATGTATCTCTTCCGCCATGATATTACTGCCATCGGATAACAAAAAAATGTTAATCAAGGGTTCAGATATTACTGACTGAGATTACGCCTTAACATACTCACCATTCTCGTCAGTGTTTCGATATGAAATTTCCACGAAGTTTTCGTTTTTGGGATCAGCAAAACGAAATTTTTTGCCCCTGTCACGGTGAGGGCGACTTGCAAAAACATCTACGATTACGGGTTATACAGAAAAAAAAAATGAAATCCATGTAATCTCAAGACTATTTAGATATACGTGTTTTTAAGGTGTCGATTTATTCCGATAGTAGAATATTAAGCCCCATATATCATTAATCAAATTTGCTTGAGTGCCACTGGTCTTGTCCCAGCTAAAAGTAAGACTCATCCAGTAAAATTTTCCAATAATTATTTCATTTTCCCCAATATCAGGTAAGAAGGAAGACATCATTTTGTAGAATT